TCTATATCTAATGAGAGTATTAATATAAAAATATCGATCACGTCTTTTTTTGTATCAAACTACGTACCGTTTTTTGATGAAGATTGTCATGTAGTTCAGGTAAGAGTGCTTTGAAACCAGATTTAACATCGCTCATTAATTGTCGAAGATCGTTATGGATTTTTAATTCACCAACAACATATGCTTTCTCAGCTTGAATAGAAAATAATTTAACGTGAAATTTTCTGAAAAAAAATTGATTATATGATATACCTATTTGCTGAGCTTCTCGAGCTGATTTGTGAGAATGTTCCATATTACCAAGTTCAGTTGTATATGAACCTACAAGTTTTGAACGATGTTCATCAATTACAGTTGATGATGTTAAATTCTCAGAGTTAACAAGACCAGAAGCACCAAGGATACGAAGGTCAGGTTGAGAAAGTCCACGACCGGAAAATGTAAATTCAAGTGGTGATCGTGATTGACGAATATTTTCATCTAATTTCATTTGTAATTCATTTTGTTTTTCTATACTTCGTTCAAGATCACGACGAAGAAGACGCATTTCTTCTAATAATTGAGATAATTCACTTGTTCGAATTGTCATTTCACTTCTATCAGTACCTTAAATAATCAAATATATTAATAGTTTTAAAATAGAATATTATATAGATCTTACTATCTTGACGAACTTTTCCTTCCCATATATCCACTTCAGTTTTATAATGTTCTATTAAAGATTTATAATGTTTAATTTCATTTAATAAACGTTGAATCTCTTCTTGTAATCTATAGTAAAAAAACTTGTTTTTATATATTTTTTTGAATAATATCATAATTATATTACTTGTCGTTGTCTTGGACAGATTCAGTATTTTGAGTTCGTAGAATCTTATATTGACGACGTATTTCATTCAATTCGTCTTGCGTGTGCTTTAAATCATCAACTATATTTTGATTATTACGTCCACCTTCGGTTTCATAGTGATGTTTAAGATCTGCATATGATTGCTCCAAACTAAAATACATTTATTTTAATGATTTCAAGATAATTATACCAAATCGTGTATCATATCATCGAAAATATAAATTTTGCCGATGAGAAAAAGCAACGAACTGTTCAATGGTTTCCTGAGTTAAGATTCTATGTATAGTTTATTGTTACTGAGATATTGTGTTTTCATGATATGCTTCTACGGAATGATATAGTTCGTTTCAAAAATCTCGATAAAACTAGTTTCTGAATTTCAAATTATTGTTTAACATAGAAATAGATCTCAGTTATCTTATAGGTACTATTTCCTAAACTTAAAGTAATAAGATTTGATAGGTTTTAAAAGAAATCATTATTTTTACATTGGAATAATTGATTTAGTTGTATAAAAAAATGATCAAATACGTCGGACTTACACCCTGAAATCAGTACTTAATTTTTGAATTTCACGATCTTTCTTGGTTATTTGTTGTTGGTAATCATCTGGCATTATTACACTATTTGTTGGACTATTTCTTTTGGGGTACAATGGCGCTAAACATAAATAAAATTACATGATACTTCTAATATATTAAGTGTCTCTATTGTGATCAGAAATAATAATAATAATAAATTTAAGGAAAGAATTGAATAGATGTGTGGCTTAGTATTTTACTTTTAGCAAAAGTATAGAGCAGCATTAGCAATAGATATATATGTCAAAGAGCAAGAAAATCAAGAATATAGATGTGCTTGGTATTTATTATGAGATTCTCATACATAATTATTTAATTTTCTCTTTTTCTGTCTATCTAGAAAATTGATGATAATATCATAAAATGAGAAAAATGATTATTTGAAAAATAACCTACTTTTTTTTTTATTATTTCCTTGTATAATATCAATATCTAAGTCGATAATATACTCATCAGTTGGATTCATTAAATGTTCTTTTCTTTCATCAAATATTGGTATATGAAGATTATGTTTCTATATTAACAAAAAAAATAAAATTTTGACTTAAAAAAAAAATTCAATCAAACTTGTATTATTTGTTCATATTTTTGTAATAGATTTTTTAATTGTTCAAAAGAAATTTGTTGATCTTTAAAACGTTTTTCATATTGTTGCGACGTAATTTTGTTATGTTCAATAGTTGTATAGAGTTTTTGAAGTTCATTTTTAAGTAATTTCGATTCATTTTTATAAGTATCAATAACAAGATTTAAATTCTAAAAACGAAATATTTTCACTGTTTGTTTTACGAAGAAAAAAATGTTGAAGTATTACTTGAATTTGTTCATTAAATTTTTCTAATGTTGGTAATTGAAGTAGATCTGGTGTATTAATACGAACATGTGTTTGTAATTGTTGTAGATATTTACGTTGATTACGAACTATTTCTTTAAGTTCATCGATATTTTCGATTTTTGTAAGATCATCATTTTTTTTATTTGATTCATTTAAACCCAGTATAACTGAATCATCTGCACTATGTCGACGCTGACGCATCGATGATTCAGCTAAACCTAAATAATACGGAAATACTAATTTTAACAGTAGATAAAGTAAAATACAAACCAGCTTGATATAATTGTTTTTGGCATTTTGTTAATTCTCTTTGATAATTTCTCGATTGACTTTCACTTCGACCAAGTTGTTCTGTAAGACGTGCTAATTTTGTTTGCCATTCAATACTGGAACGTTCCAAAAGTGCTATAGTTGATTTGATATTTTTCGATGGTAATTCAATACCCATTGATGATACATCTTGATTTAATGTACTAAGATTTTGTTCTATTATTTATAGACAGATAAAGAGAAATTAAAAATCAAGCAGAAGCCTATATATATATAATGTCAAGCACATCAATACACGACAAAGCAATGTTAAGTAGTGTTAGCATATTTAGGGGAAGTGGTTAATACAAAATCTAAGTAAATAACCTGAAGAGGATCGCGCATTAGCATTGATTATAACAGAGCGAGCAGCGTTCGTACGTGTTCGTTGTGCTTTTAAATTAGCAACTTCTTCTTGATAATTAGCTAATTCAATAGCTAATTCAGCTCTTGTATTTGAACCATGAATATCAATTAATGCATCTAATTTACGCCATAAAACTTGATTAACATATTTTTGACGTTCAAGTTCTTTTCGTACTTCGACTAATTGTTTGTGAATTTCCGTAAGAGGAGGAGCTTTTTCTGTAGAGATTTAAGTGGTTTTTTTTTATACAAAAAAAATTAATTTCGAAGTGCAAAAAAGAGATTTTTTTGCTTTCTTTTTCATTAAAAACTTACCGTTCAATTGTTTATGTAAATTTCTATTGATTTCTAAAGCTGTATCAAGTTCAAATAATAGTTCTTCATGAGTTAAACGATCAATATCTGGGCGACCTAAAAAGAAAAACAAATTTAATGAAATATTCGATTATCGAAATTATCATAGTCTCTCTGGGAGAAAGATGATCAATTCAATTACTTACGTCGACTGGCATGCTCGTATATAACCGTTGTACTATGAGTTGGACTCGGCTATAAAAGAATATTCAAAATTTTATCTTTATATTTCATAAAATATACTTGATTCGGAATGTTTGATTCAAGTCTTTCTATAAGATTATTTATTTCCTATAATATACGTGTTAGAAAATACGATTATCTAAAATTTTTTTTTACTTGATCTCTCTGTTGTATTTGATCTTGTAATAATACAATTGTTGATGAAGAGTCACCCGTTGATCGTATGTTCTTAATTAAGTCATCTAATTTCTAAAAATAATTTAAAATTTTTCTCCATTTTTCTTCTCAAAAAAAAAAATTACACGTATTTCTCGATCTTTAATAGATGATTCTTCATGTAATGACGTAACTTGTTTCGTCATTTGCTATATAAATAAGAATACTTTTTGAACAAAAGAAACATTGAAGAATTTATACTTACATTATAATCCGCTTGAATTTTGTCTTTAGCTTGATGAACGTTATTTAAATCTTGTTTCAAAGTATGAATTAAATCTTGAAGAGTCTAAAATAGTTATCTATGTGTATAAAGAGTGTCGGGATTTGATGTCTGTTACCGTTGGAAACTAGGCTATTTCTCTATTCTTCTTCTTTTTTTTATATTCTTCGGTAAGCAATCGACGAACTCTATCGCTTCTTCTTCTTTTTCTTTCTTTTACTTATATATAAAGAAGCAAATATGAAAAACCGCATTGTATTTTTCTCGCCTTCATTCTCTCGCTTTTTTTTTCATTAAAAAATAATATTACTAAGCATGCAATGAACTGTCAGGAATAAAAAAAAGAATGAGACATGGTGGTTCTTTTTTTTCTCTCTCTCTTAATTTATCTGAAGCTCGATTTAAACTTGTATCTTTATCTTATTTTCTTGAAATTATTGAAATATAAATTCTTTTTTTTTTAAATACCTGTATAGAATCTTCACGTTGTTGAAGTGTATTTTGGAAAGTTCGAATTTCATTTTCATATTGATCATCTGATTCAGATGGATTCTCAGGAATTGGTCGCTAGAATAATTTGATAATAGAAAATAATTTCAAATAAAAATATTTTTACCAATTTCCATTCCTTTTCTAAAGCTCTTATTCTATCAGTGAGAACCTAGAAAAAAGGTAAAATATATAATTTTTTGTTTCAAAGTTTTCATAATTGATCATACGTCTTTTTCGTCAAGAAGAATATTAAGTTTAATAGTTAAATTATGATGTTCTTGTTTGTAGTGTTCAATTTCATGTTGTTGGTCCTTAAAAAAAAATTCAGTTAATTAATTATCTATTGACTATTTAAATTATTTTACATTGATTATTTGTTCAGCTCGCGTTAATTTATCAGCCGTAGTAACGAGTTCTTGTTTACATTTTTCAAAATCTAAATAGAATTTTTCAATATGTCATTTATATTTCTCAGTTGCTATACCGTGTTTTACTATTATCCAACTTGATCGTTTCTCATAACTCGAAGGTTTATCATGAATTAAAGTATTACGCTAATATAAAGACAAACATAGTTGAATTTTAAATAAAATAATTATTTGACTTTTTTAATTACATCAGAATGTTTTGGATCAATTGTATTATCTTGTGCTTGAAGATCTTGTTCTAATTGATCAATACGAATCTAGAAGAAATATAATGCTTCATTAATATAAATATTTTTAAAATAAAATACTCGAATTTCTAAATAAATATCGTCTAAGTCATTAATACCAACAGGATGTTCAGTTTGAAGTAACTAGAATAAAATGATATTCTCTAATTGATTAATAAATCTATGCAAATCAGTTTACTTTAATTAATTCTTCCTGTTCTTGAACATTTTTTCGTAATTCTGCAATCTAAATGAAAAAAAAGTTTAGAAGAAATTTTCGTGAATCTTCATATCATTTATAAAGTTGAAACTAAAAAAACATGGTAACAACTTACAAAATCTTATTAGTCTGATGAATTTATGAAAAGTAAAAAAAAACTTATACAATAACTGAATTCACTCTGATATTTTTGATACATAACAACAAATTGAAATTCTAGAGTTTATTTGAAGAGCAAATGATGATGATGTAAGAGTTCAATTACGATATGAGATTATAGAAAACGATACCATTACGTTAGAATACATAACGATAAATCTGATCTCTATAATGAAGACTTACTCATAGAAGATTTTCGTAAATAAAAAAAAATATTCTTATGTTTTAATCTTTTCTTTATAGTGTAAAAAAGACTCCTGAGAACAATTTTTTGTAATATCGAGTGCTATTAACGGATTATATTCATATTAGAAAACGTTAGGTTTATTTAACAAAAAATAGTTACCTTCACTGATCTTTTTTTTATTAAAAACACAAAATTAATGGGAATCTTTCTTATGAGTATACTCGATAAATGACAAAAGAATAATGGAAGAAGTAATAGTATTTACATCAAAATTTTTGTTCTCTCGTTCTTTCTCTTTTTACTATTCGAAATGCGCTCAACGAATATTAATTGAATATAGAAGAGCATTTTTATATTCTTAAGTTTATGTTGAACAAATACTATTGTATTCCTATATAGTATCTTTAATTTCTCTTTTACTCACTTTTTGTTCATAAGTTGTCAAGAGCGACAATCGATCCTATAACGATATTAAAATATATAAATTATAGATATTTTTTTCTCGAATTATATTACATTGGGTTTTAGTGAGGGAGTTACATCTTTTGGATTACCAGTAAGCTAAAAAGAATTTAGTGAAATAAAAACAAATAAATTTCATTATAAGACGTATACTTCAAGAATGCGTTGATTTTTTTCCTGAATTCTTTGTTCTAATTGCTGAAAAATAAAAAAAATAAATTTCATTCAAGTAAAATCGTTTTTTAATATACTTGTATATGGTGATTTGCACTATTTAATTGTTCATTAAATGTATGATAATCATGATCAGATTGTTCATTTGATCGTTGAAGATCTTCTTTAAGACGACTGATATCTTTAACATGATTCTTATAAAAAGAATAATGAATTCAATTAGATGAAATAATAATAATAATATAAAACTAACTTCTAGCGTTCTATTTGCTTTTTGTAATTCATTTTCAACTGCATGAAATTGCTTTTCAAACTATATAAACATATCTACATATATAATGAATTCGAAAAAGAAAGAAAACCTTACATGTACTCTTTCATTATTACATCGTTGATAATTAGATTCAGCAGTTTTTACTTCTTCCAAGGCATTCTATAGTAAATAAAGAAAACGAAAATTCTTTGATAAAGATAATAATTATATATTTTGTTTACTGAAATTTCTGCGTCTTTGCGAGCAGTCAATTCTTCATAACGATTATGATACTTAATTATAAAGAAAAAATTTGTTTTTTTATTATAATATTAACAGATAAAAACAGTTTTTACTTCATTTTCATATTGTTCTTGAATTTGAATTGTGATTTTAATCTTAAGTTCGTCTAGTTCGTGTTTAAATTTCTAAAAAACAAATAAATAAAAGTTCTTTTTTGAATCAATGAACTTTTCTTATTCTTCGAATTTACAGTATTTTCATCATTTAAAATTAGACTTTTTCTTTCATTTTCCTTTAATCGCGTTTCAGCAGCAATCAAATCATGTTCTAGTTGAGCACATTTACGCTTCACTTCCTAATTAAATACAAAAGAAAAAACAATACTTAAATAACACAAAATATTCGTCTTCTTACATTCAGATTATTAAGAGCAACATCACGTTCATGTTTTATATGTTGATAATTATGATCTGATGTTTGATATTCAGTTCGAAATCGTTCATTTTCATCTTCATAATGTTGAACACGAACTCTACAATCAACTATTTCTTTTCTTAACTAAAAATTAGAAAAAAAAATAGCTATTTAAATTTCTTTATATTGATTACAGCATCAGTTGTTTGTTTTAATTGCTCATATTTATTGTCATGTGCCTATTTGAAAAAAGAACAATAGATATTTCTATTAGTTATTTAAATATACTTTTTCAAGTTCGGATATTTGAAGTTCATAAGTCTAGAAAATAATTTTCAATTTAAAAAAAAACATAATTAATGAGAGATGATTATTTACTTGACGTTGCTTTTCCAATCGATCTTTATGATCGGCACCATTTGATTGTAACTTAAAATAGACAAATGTTTAATAATTAAAAGAAAAAAAATGTATGTAATCATTTACTCGATCATAGTTTGTTTGAAGTTCATCAAATCGTCTTATTTCAGTATCAAGTACGCGTTTAGCGTTTTCTTTTTCAATCTAAAATTTAAATAGATTTTATTAAAAATCTAAAACGAATTATTAACTACATCTATTTGTCTTTGACGTTGATTTAACTCCTAAGATAAAGAGTTGGTTTAATAAGTATAATTATTAGAATAAAAATTTACTTCTTCATAATCAATTGTCATTTGATCAAATTTTCTATGATAATCTTCAATTTGTTTTTCTCGCACCTATTTATTTATAGAGAAAACAGTTTATATATATAAATGATAGATTTTACTCGTATTTGATGTGTCAAGTCATCTATGTTCATTGATTGTAATTGTGCTTTCTAAAGACAAAATAAACGGTTCTATGATGAAAAGTTATTTTAGTGACTGTTTATGAAAGAATTTATTTGAGTTTAATTTCTACCCTGTTAATCTTCAGTTACATATCTTGAAGGTGGGTGTGGGTATTATCTTTTTTAGTTAACCAGAGCCATAGCCACACTCACTCACTCAAACCCGCTCGCCCACACCCGCTCCTACACCCAC